CCCCCCCCCGGGCACACACTTGCCCTCAGGACTCCTACCTCCTCCCCCGCAGAGGAGGGGAGCCCCAGTGCACGCCTCCCTACCCCAGGACAGAAGCCCTAGTGCGCGCTTCCCCCCAGGACTCCTCCCTCCCTCCCTGGCACACACTTGCCCTCGGGACTTCTACCTCCTCCCCTGCAGAGGAGGGGAGCCCCAGTGAGCACCTCCCCTCCCCCCCCCAAAGCCCCAGCACGTGCCTTCATCCGGGACTTCTACCTCCTCCAAGCGTGCCACAGACCTGGAGGAGGGGAGCAGGCAGCGCACTTCCGGAAATCCCGGAAGTGGCGCACAGCTGCCGGATTTCCCTCCACCCCGCAGGAAGTTGGCACTACCTCCATTTTCGGAGGTAGGTAGTGGGGCTTTTTGGGGGTAGGGGGAATTGGGGGGGCCCTGAATGCCTTGCGATCGACTGGTCAAGCACTGCCGATCGACCAGTTGATCGCGATTGACGGGTTGGTGACCACGGCATTAAACTGTTAGCTGGTTACACTCTAACGTCACCCCTGCTCTGATGTAACTTACATTTGTTAGAGGCTGTTGCGAGGCATGAGGCAACCCAGTCTTTCCATCTCCACCTGTTTTAATGCCACAATTCTTACTTTATTATAGTCTGTTTCCATGACAAGAACATCTTTCTCAATGGTTTTCCTGTGTCATCTGTTCTCCTTCTCCATCATCCGTGAGATGATATATAGTAAAGAGTTTATCTAGAAATACATTTTTTTACATTAGTACATGTCCAAATCACTTCAGCCTTCTTTCTCAAATTATTTTGTCTACAGACCAGTCATTTGTAACATCATCGTTGGTTACTTTATCCCACAGGAGGATAACCAGTGTTCTTCATAAGCATCTCTGATGGGCATGCATTAAGTTTTCTGCTTTGGACTTCTTGTGTTTGCTATTTTAGAAGTGTATACAAATGTTGGTATCACAATGGCATTGCATATTTTTTCATGGTTCTTGATTAACTCTCTTTCTCCAGATATTTATCAGTCTTGAAAAGGTTCTTGTTTCCACCTTATAATGGAGTTGGCCATCAGCACAAATTTTGCTCCTAAGAAATACACTTTTATTAATGATTCTGTACTCTACACTATTGATCATTTATACTCCATTATTGCTGACTCTTCTTTCAACAGTCATGATTTGGGGGGGGTTGGCCGATGCTTAATCCTGCCTTGACAAGCCCTATCTTTCTACAGATGACATTGCAAAAAACCACTACCAAAATCAAGATCTTGACATTTTCCTCTACTCTACATAGTTCTTGTAACTTCCTTTTGATGTTGCTTTTCTCATCAATCATAGTCTCTGTAGGGAGAAAGCTGTGAGATTATTCTTTCTAACCTGTTATTGAGGACATAGAATGGCATGAGGTCCTCCCCATATCTCCTGCAAATAGCCCCCAATATCAAGCTTTAATGCATTTTGAGGGAAAATGTGAGGGACTGGAACCTGGATATCTCATTTTGGGGATGGGCTGCAAATTAATCAGAAATGAAAGTGTATTGTGTTCTGTCTCTATTGCTTAGATTGGAGCTCATTCTCAGTTCTCCTATTAACTGCGGCCTTCACGGTTTACATCAGTATGACTTTCTTTGCACCAGTGTTTCAAATATACCAAAGAAGGGCATATGCAATTGGATTAAGCAGTAGCTCAATCCATCAGAGACTATTTATGATTTTTACATTATTTTAGGAAATTAAATTAATGTTTGCTTACATGTAACGCAACCATACCAGCAAATCTGTTTTAAAAACAAGTATATTGATCAGAGTAAGGAATGCTTTGCTAAATGAAACTATCCATCTTTAAATAAAACTTACCATTAAATCTAATAATGAACAGTGATTTTTAGTACAATTCACAAGTTTTAATGATTCTTTAAAACATAATCCTGTTTTTATGTATAACTTTTTTTCTTTGATAGAGGAGTGAATGTCGTTCCTTTCCTAGAGTTCATTGGAGTACCAGAATGCGTTGTAAGCATTCTGAAAAACTCTCAAAGTGGATATGCACTAACTGCATATGCAATGTATAAGGTAGGTACCATTATAGTTAAGTGGTTCTGAAGCTGCCTAGTGATTTAAATAATTCTCTTAATTCACTTAGCTCAAAGAATTAGCATTGTTTTCTCTCAGTAGTTTTTAGATGTTTTTAAATGAATGTTTTAAACTTGGATATTCACGTTACTCAAGTTAAAAGGGTCATCATAATGCTTTTAAGCACCTTTGCATCCCTGTAAAATATTCCTAAACTGTTTTGTTTGCATGGCTGTTTGGTTCCCTAAAAGTGGTGACAATCCACTGTAATATCTGTATTTTCCCCTGTGCACTCAGCTAGACAGTGACATTTTACAAGATCTTAGTTCTTCAGGTGACCATGCTTTTTTTTTCTACAGGATTTTTTAATTTACGATTATAGCTTAAATATTTGCTTTCATCAGTGAGTTAGTTGGGATTTATTTGTCCTAATAAGATCAGATTTTGGATATTTGTTTTCGGTGTTTAGAGCTGCTTAATCTGTTTGTACAGCGTTTTGAACATATAAAGCATGGTACAAGAGCAAAGTATTAACATCTTTATTTATAGTACTTTGTCTTTTTTGGTGCATATATTTGTTTTACTTCAATATGCATTATGCATCTAACCAAAGTAATAGAAATGTAGCTGTGTTAGTCTGGTGTAGCTGAAGCAAAATGCAGGACTAGGTAGCACTTTAAAGACTAACAAGATGGTTTATTCATCTAATAAACCATCTTGTTAGTCTTTAAAGTGCTACATAGTCCTGCATTTTGTATCTAACCAAAGTGGTGATGAAGTAAAGGCACAGACTCTTGTCAGTTTTAATTGTTTAGTTTACTGGTGCCTAGAGGCAGTCAATGAATGAATGCAATTAAGTATAAAGATTTTATAATAAACACAACCTATTCTGGCAATAATATATATTACATACATGTATTTTCAGGAGATTTGGCCGTGTTGAGTACGTGTACATTTCTATCTCTGAGTCCAATCCTTCTCCCATTGAAACAGATGGAAGTAGGAAAAAGTCTGATGTAAATTTAAGAGACGCCTTTTCAAAAATACTCCTCGTATCTGAGTTCTTAAATGCAGATTACCTTTTCTAAACAATGGGAGTTGCTGGGTGTTGTGTTCTTTTGAAAATCTGTCCCTTTATTTACTCAGATGTATTTAACGTCAGTACAGGCAGTCCCCGGGTTACGTACAAGATAGGGACTGTAGGTTTGTTCTTAAGTTGAATTTGTATGTAAGTCGGAACTGGTACATATTGTAGGGGAAACTCTAGCCAAACATTTCTCCAGAGCTCAGTTTTATTCTCCCACACCTCACTTCCCTCAGCCCTTTATTCTCAAGCTGAAGTGTCTGCTGAGAAAAGCCGCTCCGTGTCTCCCTGATCTGCTGGGGTTGGGGAGCGCTAGCTTCGCGTCTCCCTGGTCTGCTGGGGGGAAGCAGCTAGTGCGGGGTTGCCTCACCCAGTCGGATCCATGTAACCCGGGGACTGCCTGTATTGTGGTGGTGTCTTGAGGCCAACCAAATCCAGGTCCCATTTTGCTAGTCACTTGCACAAACATGTTTTAAAAAATAATTCCTGCCCCTATAACAGCTTATAGTTTAGAATTGTGTGCCAAAAGTCTTTTTCTCAGAGTCTTAGCTTTTTGGAAGAAAATATTAATCTAACTAACTTTATCCCTTTTTCTTTACATTTCCTGCCTTCTCTGTAGCTACCCTTCTCTCCCAGAGTTTGAATGCAGCAAATCAGTTGATTCAAAATAAAAATCTCAATAATAGTATGAGATTTCAACTATCCGCATATTGACTGGGTACACATCACTTCAGGACGGGATGCAGAGATAAAATTTCTTGATACATTAAATAACTGCTTCTTTGAGCAGCTGGGTTCTGTAACTGACAAGGGGAGAGGCAATTCTTGATTTAGTCCTAAGTGGTGTGCAGGATCTGGTCCAAGAGGTATATAACTGGACCGCTTAGAAATAGTGACCATAATGTAATAAAATTTAACATCTCTGTGGTGGGAAAAACACCTCAGCAGTCCAACACTGTGGCATTTAATTTCAGAAAGGGGAACTATACAAAACTAAGGAGGTTAGTTATACAGAAATTAAAAGGTACAGTGACAAAAGTAAAATCCCTGCAAGCTGTATGGAAACTTTTCAAAGACACCATAATAGATAACCAACTTAAATGTATATCCCAAATTAAAAAACACAGTAAGAAAACCAAAGAAGTACCCCATGGCTTGGCTTAACCAAGTAAAAGAAGCAATGAGAGATAAAAAGGCATCATTTAAAAAGTGGAAGTCAAACTGATAAACTTAACAGTAACAAGTCACCAGGACCAGATGGCATTCACCCAAGAGTTCTGAAAGAACTCAAATGTGAAATTGCGGAACTATTCACTATGGTTTATAACCTATCCTTTAAATCAGCTTCTGTACCTAATGACTGGAAGATAGCTAACGTGACGCCAATATTTAAGAAGGGCTCTAGAGGTGATCTTGGCAGTCACAGACTGGTAAATCTAAAATCAGTACTGGGCAAATTAGTTTAAACTATTGTAAAGAATAAAATTGTCAGACACATAGATGAACATAATTTGTTGGGGGAAAAGTCAACATGGTTTCTGTAAAGGGAAATCATGCCTTACTAATTCTTTGAGGGGGTCAACAAATATGTGGACAATGGGGATCCAGTGGATATAGCATACAGATTTCCATAAAGACTTTGAAAAGGTCCCTCACCAAAGGTTCTTAAGTAAAATAAGTTGTCTTGGGATAAGAGGGAAGGTCCTTTCATGGATTGATAACCGGTTAAAAAACAGGAAACAAAGGGTAGGAATAAATGATAAGTTTTCAGAATGGAGAGAAGTAACTAGCGGTGTCCCTCAAGTGTCTGTCCTGGAACCAGTCCTATTCAACTTAGTTATAAATCATCTGGAGAAAGGGGCAAACAGTGAGGTGGCAAAATTTGCAGATGATACCAAACGGCTCAAGATAGTTAAGACCAAAGAAGACTGTGAAGAGCTTCAATAAGATCTCACCAAACTAAGTGATTGGGCAGCAAAATGCAGGGCAGCAAAGCATCCGCCCCAGAAGCTGGGCCAGCAGGGGCTGGGATCCCGCTCTTGGAGTGGCTTTGCTGCAGCTCTACAGTACATAGCTAAGCTTTAAGCCCACAGTGCATGTAACTGCTGAGATTTTCAATGGTTAAACAGTTACTCCATTAAACTGTTTTTAATATCCCTATAGAAAAGGTGACTGGCCTTCAAAGCCTCTGTCAAGTCTTACAGCATTGGTTAGCATTTTCCAGTAGGGAGCTATTAAGACAAGTGAGATTATTTTAAAGTGAGAGACAGATGCAGAGAGTATTTATAAGTAGCTAAAAAGATGCCAAACCATCAGCCCTCACTGAATTGGAAATTAGTGTTTGTCTTCCCACTTTTATTTCATGATGATATATCATTCTGTGGAAATCAGAGCTGGGAACAAAGATTTGGGTCGAAGAAGAAAAGGAGCAATAAAGGTTGAGAGATGAGACAGCACAATCCAGAGGATTCTTTTAGACCACGGATGGTCAAACTATGCCCTGTGGGTCACATCCAGCCCTTGAACTCCCTCTGGAGAGTGGGGTCTGGGGCTTGCCCTGCTGTGTGCGCGCCATGGCTCTATGCACCTCCTGGAAGCAGCAGCATGTCCCCATGGGTATGGGCAACAAAGTAGTCCATGCACTGCCCCCACCCCAAACACTGCCCCTGCAATTCCTGTTGGCTGGGAACTGTGGCCAATAGGAGCTGCAGGGGCCACACCTGTGGACGGGGTCGGGAGAGGAGGCAGTGCCCAGATTCGCCTGGCCACACCTCCACATAGCAGCTGGCTGGAAGGAGGACATGCCACTCTTTCAGTTGTTACCTCTTCTTCCCCTCCCCCATTAAATAACCCTTTTCTCAATCTGCATGATCTAAGTAATGCATTGCTGTGATGTTAAATAACTGATGCATTTTATCCCAGAAGTGATACTTCTCAAGAGTGCATGAAGTTATGCCTAGTTGGCGCATCTCTTCAAACCTGTAATACTTCAAATAAAAGTGTGGGTGTGAGAGAGAGAGAGAGAGAGCCTTTCTGAAGAATTAATTTAAGAATAGGTTAACTTATGTCATAACTCTGAGCTTTTTTTTTTAAACATTGGAGTTGGCCAGTACAAGTTGAACCTCTCTGGTCCAGCAACATCCATCGTCGGGCATAATTTTAGTTGGCCAGGTGTCCATTAAATATAGGTGTGGCCAATTTTCCAGCTGCTCCGTAAAATGCATTTACAGCCATCAGTCCTGATTTTCAATGTTCTATGCTCTTGTGCTAATTTACCACTAAATGTTTCCAAAGTGTCCAGTTAGCAATAGGGATGTTAAAATGCAGGGAATTATGTAACCGTGTAACTGCTGAAATTCTCAGCAGCTACATGGTTACACGCATCCACAGCACAGGGCAGCAGCTGGCTCCCAGTGCGCAACAGCCCATGCTGCTGCCTCTGATACAGAGCTTGCAGCACAAGGTGGCAAACAAATCCCCAGGAGCAGCGTGGGAGCCTGCGTGTAACCATCGATGGTAACCAACAAGTCTGGGCTTATCAATTAACTGTTTAAACAGTTATAATTTTACATCCCTAGTAAGCAGTGGAAGGGTTGGGAATGCTGCTAGACAATATTGACCTCCCATGGTTCGGCAAATTCTCTGGTTTGGCACCGGTCAGGTCCTAAGGGTGCCAGAATAGAGAGGTTCAACTTGTATAAGCATTTTACAAAAATGGAGAAATTTTCTGAGGAATATCCAATTCCATGCACACATAATTTTGATACTACTTTGGTTTCCTTTTAAGATTGCAACTCCTGCCAGATACACTGTAACTTTAGGAGGAACGTCCATTAGTGTCAAGTATCTTCGTAAGCATGGCTACATGTCCACACCCCCTCCAGTAACGGAATACCTACAGGATAGAATGGAAGAA